GAATCTAGAAATAGAACCACACATATATGGTCCACTGATTTTTTTTTTTTTTTTGGTACTGGGAATCAAACTTGGGACCTTGTGCTTGCAAGGCAGGTGGAGGTACCACTGTCGCTTGTGTGGCTGTGCAGCTCTTTTCCAGGCAGGCCTTTGGCTTGGGCCAGTGTGCCCCAGCCTCTGGGGTCAGGGTGGAGCCCTGGCTGGGATCTGCTTGCAGCCATGCTGTTCTGGTCCACACTGCTGCTCCCCCAACTACGGTGGTCTGGTGTGCCTTTATTGTAGAGATTTTCTTCACTTTTCCGGTGGGCTTTAATTTTCATCAGTGGGCCTCATAGAGGCCCTCTTTCTGTTGTTCACTTCTATTCTATCTTCTCAAGCTCAGAACAATGTCCTTTATGACCCCTGCAACTCTGTGGTGTGAATCCAGGTAATGGCTTGGCACAGCCGGTGTGGGGGTTGTTCTGGTGCCCGTGCAGCTCACCTCCTTGGCACTCTGGGCAACCACATAATTTTTAGTACTGTCCCACATGGCAATGACTCCAAATTAAGTTCTCACAATGGAAGGATTCTTTTGTTTGGGACACTGCAACTACTTGCGAAGAGGTAGGAGCTGGGCATCCAGAGAAGGACAGAAGGATAGGACATTTTTGATCCGTCCCAGGGTCTTTTCTTTCCGGATTATTTTTGATGTATTTCTAAATCAAGTCCTATGCATGTAGTCTTCACAGAAGTCAAGTTGACATGATATATGCATGTATGGGTATGGCTATGTCTATATGTACATATGTGCACACATACGTCAGCTTGTATTTTCTTCCTTTGCATCCAGGCTGCACACAGTGACCACAGTAAGGAAGTCTTCGGCTGTCCTGGAGATCCATCAAGAAGTCTGAGGAGGACACGGCCTTGTCACGGACACAGCTGGTCACTTCTCTGCCTCTTCACTGCTGTTCATAGTTGGTTGTGGCCACACTTTTCTCCTTATAGTTTTATACTTTGTACACTTTTCCTCTTTTTCCTCAAACCAGGGTCTCCTGGGAAATTCTAATGGCCAAACAGAAGCTAGATTATAGGAAGCAGTAGGAATATATTAGGATGAGCATCCCTGGAACTTTCTTTTTCTTATGCTTTAAAACCTACGGTCATGCCAAATAATACAATAATTGTATTATTTTATATTATGATATATTAAGAAAAATGTTTGAAAGTTTGTTCACTAGGGTGTTACTTAATTTTATCACAATATCATCATCCTTTCTTGATATAGGTCAAGAATGCAGTTTCCAGGTTTGTTAGGTGGGTGACCACTGGGACTCTGTGTTGGGCCACGGCTATCTGGTGGGTACTTCCGGTTCTCACAGCTCTTCTCCCTCCATGCAGACAGAGGGTCAGATTCTAATGGCAATGATTCTGCAGAGAAGTCCTCCAGGGAAATCAGCTTTGTCTAAAATCCTTAACTGGAAACTGCTCTTGTATCTCTAAATTTGAGGACGAAAATAATTCCCACTGACGGTAATTTTACCCATGTGGATTCTTCTCATTAAGTTCTAGTTACTAATATAGTGTGTATAATGGAGCACTACTAGCTGTAATTGCTTAGGAAATGAGCATAGTGAAAATAGCTACTTGTGCATGTTGCTTCTTTGTTTGTTCTTTGTGACCTTCTTTCTTTCTTTTGTTCATCCCCCTGACCCCAACAGATACCTTTTGGAGTCTGTAGTTAAAGAGATGCAAATATGAATGATGTGAAATGATTTCAGAGGTGGATCCTGGTCCTTCAAAGCTAATGAAAGGGGAAGGCAGTGAATAGGAGGTTCCAGTGGACCTTCAGCTCAATGTCCATGGGTTCTTCCTCTGGGTCGGAAGAGCAGGGCTTGCACAGGGCTCTCTGTTAGCAACAGAGTCAGCACAATGTCCTCCCCACCCCTCGTCTTGTTCTGCTTCTGGGAACTTCAGCCTTGTCCTCAGCTCTGTTCTGTCCTCCTGGTAACTCCTAGTGAAAAGAAAGGGGAGAGGGGCCACTATACCACTGATGACCTCCCCCCTCCTTCCATGGGAAGGTTGCAGAGTCCCCTCCTCCAGGGCTCAGCCCTCTGTGGATGGCTCCTTCAGCTCCTCTGTCTTTTAGCTTTCTTGAGAGTTGGGGTAGGGAAGAGGAATGAGTTAACATGTGTTATTGGTTCAAGACAAGAAATGAATAGATGCTATAAAATATACTCTATGATTAAAGCAAAAAGAATTAACAACTCTGCTTGGGGCTTGGGACTGCTTATTGAAGCCTGAAGAAAAGAGACAAAGTTGTCATTAGAATAGAGAAATAGAGACATCCCAGAGATGTGTGAACTCTAGAATGTGAAAGGGCGCAGTGCCTCTGATGGAGGGGGACATGAGTTTAAAGCACAGAATCAGATTGCCTGGGCTTGCAGTGGCTCTTTGCCCTCTGTGCCCTCTGTGCCCACTTGTAAAACAGGATGGTGACAATCATGTCACAGGGTCATCATTGGGAGTCTTTGATGGGATGATACACATGGAAGTCATGTGTCACCATGGTGGCTGCTGCTTTCATTATTACTGGGGACAGGTGGTGATGTCAGAGGTGGAGCTGCCATGGTCATTGTGCCAGAGCCAGAGGAGGAGGTGTGAGGCTGGTAGTGTTAGAAAGACTGGTCCAGTGGCATTGCGGAGGGAGATTGCTGGGCAAAAGGGCCAAGATCGGCTTGGAGGCTGTCAGATCAAACAGGGACTTTATAGAGCTAGCAGAACTAATGAGGTCCTGAATCAAGGTGTGACAATGGAAAGAGAGATGCAAACCTAGTTTTAGAACATTTTAAGAAGTAGGAGTTCTTGGCACTTGGTTGCATGGAGGCAAAGAGTGAAGGAATCCTTGGGTCATCTGCTTAGGAAGTAGTGGGGTAGTGGTGTTCGTGGGAGGAACCTGAGCCAGGTTAGGGCAGATTCATCTACAAGGTGAAATTCAACATTGACATTGTACAGAAGTCCCCAAAGGTGGATCATATGCTCCCCTTTATTAACTGTTTTACTAAAATATGGGCTTTAACACAGTTTTTAAAAAGCATGTGAAGAAAAAGATTAGTCTAGCCTGGAGGGAGAAGTGTTTAAATACTAGGAGCTTTGAGGGAGAACTAGTTAATTTTTGTTACCGATTTGAAATATATGATCTCCATGGTTTGGTCCACATATTTTGTAATACCCTGAGAGTCAAGAGGTGCCAGGATTCATATCAAGAGAATTCGCCCTCTGGGTGGAGAGGAGGAGGAGTAGGAGTGTGAGGATTCATTGAAGGCTGGCTGGCACAGGCCAGGCTGTCGAGTGATTCCTGAGTGGGCCCTGCACTCCAGGACCATCCCACAATGTGTGTGTATAAGACTGCAAAATCCTTGAGCAGGATCTATGTGCCTTCTACTCTGGGTTCTTGTCTTAGTTACTTTTCTCATTGTTGAGACAAAATACCTGACACGTGAAGTTAAAGGAGAAAAGGTTTATTTCAGTTGACAGTTTGTAGAGGTTTCAGTCCACAGCTGGCTGGCTCCAAGGCAGGGTGGCAATGGCAGAGAAGCATCACAGAGAAATAGTCCATGGCAAAGCAGGCAAGAGACAGCAAGGCATGAGGCAGCAGCCTGCCTTCTTTCTGTCCCTTTAGGGACAATCTCTAGGCTACAATCCAATTGATTGGTGCCACCCACATCCAGGGTGGGGCTTCATTATCCACACCCAGAACTATGCTAGACTAATTTAATTATCACTCACCCTTAATCCCAGTATCACACACCCTAATCCAGCATCACACACCCGTGATCCAGCCACCTCTCAAAAGCCCCACTTATGAGCACATGAGGCTTTGAGGGGACATCTAGATACAAGCTGTAATAGTTCTTCTAATGACCTCAGTGCCTGACACAGGAAGGGTGTAAGAAACATCAGGTTGGATTTGGAAACTTAGGAGAATGATTAAATCGAGAATGTAAAATCCTAGATCCTTGCCTTACAATTTATTTTAATTATCTTTGCTCCTGTGGTCCTTCACTCAAACAGAGCCTGTCCCACTCATAAATGAATGAGTAAATGGAGTAAGAAATAGGAATGGAGGGTAGAAATACCCTATGAACTTGAAAAGTTGGATTTCAAAAATCACAATAAAATCCAAGTATATTTTGATTTTTACCAAGGAGAATGAGGCAACAGGAATCTATTTCCCAGTAGAACCCAATTATTTGATTCTTAAAATGCAATTTGCTCAAGAACCCAGCACTGTGCTTATTTACCACTGGAGTGGGAACAAAACATTTGTCCTGTTCGAGTCTCCCTTAATGGTCTTTAGCAATATAAACCACACATCCCTGAATGGTAATGCTTCTCCACAAAACTAGTGGAAAAGAGGGAGGAAGACAAAGGTGAGCCTTGGAGAGGGGAGGGAGGAGAATACAGAGAGAGGACAGTGAGGGGACCCAGGATACCTGGACAAGGAACTGTCCTGAAGGTGGCCAGAAGAGCAGGGGCCTCTGGAGAGAGCAATGATGTGTGGTGTTACAGAAACAGCATTAGCACAGGCTGTGTCAGCCTCAATTTAATAATTAATTTTATTGAGGAAGAGTTGGACTTCATTGTCCAGAAGGTCAAAATGATGACCACTTTGGATATAACTAATTAATTAATAAGTTTTGGGGGTCCTGGATATCAGATCCAGGGCCTCACACATGTTAGGGAAGTGCCGTACTACTGAATTACCATCTCGGTCTTTTTTATTTTCAAGACAGGGTCTCACTACGTTGCTCAGGCTGCCCTTAAACTTGCAATCTTCCTGCCTCAGCCTCCCTAGTAGTGTGCAGCATCACACCAGGCCCTCCCTCTCTTTATTTTTGAGTAATGTGTCTTAGTTGTGCATATTTATGGAATTCAGTGCGGTACATCCTTAGAGGTGCATACATGTGTGCACACATCAGATCTGGCCTCCCTGTATCCACCTGTCCCTACCTCTAGTTATCACTATTCTACAGTCAGGTAAACTTGTCTTTTCAACTTACATATGAGAGCACATAGTGCTTGTCTTTTTATGCCTCATTTATTCACTTAATGTAATGTCCTCTGGTTCCATCTATCTTGCTGCCAATGACAGGATACTATTCTTCTTTATGACTGCATAATATTCCCTTGCATCTATAGAACACATTTTTCTTTATGCATCCGTGGGCAGACACCTAGGTTGATCCCTATTTGACTCTTGTGGATAATCTGTACTCTTATCAAAAGGTGGCCCAAGGCAAGAGTTATCAGGACAATGGGGAGTTTGGTGAGACAACACATGTAAAAGCATGCCTGCAGTCAGTAACAATTCAGCCTGAAGTCTCAAGCCTTCAGTATATAACACATAGCAGAACCCTTGGTCACCACAGTGACCTTGAATGACTCTTTTAACAGAATGTACAGTTTTCACTGTATGTGTCCATCAGGTTACAAGACTGTGTGGACTATATTTTGAAAATAGTATTATTCCAGAGAGTTACATAAAAAAAGCATTGGTATTTAAACTGCTTTCTCAATTTCTTTGATTCTTTGGTTTTGATTTTATTCTTCACATGGCCTTCGAGCTGTGGAATAGACAGACATAGGTCACATAAAACATAATTGGGATAAACAGTCACTCCACATTGTATGTGGGTTTTTTGGTTTTGTTTAACACTGGCTGAATTTATAGGCCAGATTCTGCCCTTATTCACTCACCTTTACACTCCTCCTGTGTCTGCAGTGAAAATAAGGGGATGATGTTTTTTCAGCTCTTTAGGAACTGGGAGTTTTGGCCCAAGTATGTCAAATACATACACATCACAAGAGGATTTAGTTGTACCAATTTGTAGATGAGGACCTGTGGATACTG